AGTAGGTTATCACCTGCTAACAAAATCTTTGTAAAATGGTCATACTTTAACAGAAAAGAAAAGCAACCTCAGAGGATTTATAATTTTTGTAAGGGTCATTAGAAAATACAGTGATTTTGAGAACTCTTAAGAAATTACACACTTCAAAGTAGATTAGAAATGAAAGTTTTGGAAAAAACTAATCACTTGAGTATTTTTAAAATATAATTTAAATATAAAGATAAAAATTTCAAGTAGCATTTTGTTATCTAGAGAAAAATCCAGACAGAAAACTTCGAGTTTTTTTAAGGTGGGTTTTAGATTTCTAGTAAGATTTTGAGTTTAGATTACATACATTTTTAAAAGTTCAGGACATGTTGTAAACAAAATTATAGTCACCCCTTAACATTTTAAACTATGTAGCACTTACTCTCAGTTAAGTAGTCCAAAAATTTGTGCTTCAGCTAAGGATATATGATCTCAATTCTGATCAAAATGGGCCTAGTACAACTTTAGTATCTTCAAGCACTTAAGTTTCTCTGTTTTCAGCAGTATAAAAAAGTCAGATAAGTAAGACACTGACATACTTTCTCTTATGCTTACTGTAGTGGTATTCTTACATTTTGTTGTTCATAGCAGCACCTAAAATGCAGATTCCTGGGCCCATGAAAGATTAACATTCTGCTGGTCAGGGGTGAGGACCCTGGAGGCTGCTGTCTATGGTGGTTTACATATCACACGTTAAGAAACACTGCCTACAGAACTTCTACCAAATCTGAAATTCTTGGGATGGGTCTAGAAAACTGTGTTTTAACAAACTCAACAGGTGATCCTTCTTTCACCATATTACAGCTTTTAATAACTTTCCCTCAACATTTTAAAAAGATTTTATTTATGTATTTTAGAGGGAAAGGAGTGAGAAAGAGAGGGAAACATGAATGTGCCAGAGAAATATCAGTAGGTTGCCTCTTGCATGCCCCCAGCCAGGGACCCTACCTACAACCAGGGGATGTGCCCTGACTGGGAATCAAACCAGCAACCTCTTGATTTGTGGAATGATGCCCAACCCACTGAACTACACCAGTCAGGGCAATTTTTCTTCAACTTTTGATGCTCTGTGTAGGAACTGGTTATGTGCTAGGCCATATGAGCACCCAACAGATCCCAGGTTAGGGATGTTTTATTAGAACTAGCATCTCCATACCATATTAAGGACAAGGAGCTGTCTCCTGACAGACATGATGGAAACTTTGAGTGTACAAAACAGGCTGTTCTGTATCTCAATATCTTGAAATTTCTTTCTTGAGGGCCTAAAATTAAATGCCCTATGCTGGAGCTGAATTTGTCTAAATTACATGTGTTTATAATGTGACTTCAGTAAATATACAGAATTCCACTTTTTTTTGGAAACAGGTATTCATCCAGAAAAAAACCTGCATCCTTATCTCAATTATACACATATAAATAAAAACAAGTGACAATTCCTCAACCTTTTATTTTCTTTTCTAACTGGTACTCCAATTTTTGTACACTTTAAGTGCTATTTCTATAAACATTTTTATACAATATGTTCTATTCTTTAACAATAACATACATAATGGTACTGTATTAAACTTAAATTTACAAAAATGGTACTGAATTAAAATCTCATTTTGTTTTTATTTTTTTCTCTTGATTTTATGTTTTAAAACTTATCCAGTTTTAAAGATTGCACCATTATTACTTCTACCTGCTACACTGGTATCCACAGTACACCACCATTCTTCTTTTATTGAATTAATTGGGTTGACATTGATTCACAATACCATACAGATTTCAAATGTACAACTTAACAAAACATCATTCGTATACCGCATCTTAATCACTTAATCTGTGACAGAGACTTAAGCTAAGCTACCTCCAAATTACCCCTACCACTACCACAAACAATACAGCTACAAAGACTGTGCCATCAGGGACCTGTGTAAAAATTCCACTGAGTGCTGGGTTAGAGGGATTAGGCATTCTTGATTTAACTGAACACTGACTGATTTACAGAATGGTGGGTGGTACTAGTTTATATTCCCACCATTATACAGAAGACTTCTCTCACAACGCTCTACACAGTTTGTATTGGCTATCTTTTAAATTTGTGTCATTCTGAAGACCATTAGGTTGTATTTCATGCTTTATTTTTTCTAATTACAAATGAATTTGTACATATCCTCATCTACCTGTTAGCACTTGGACTTCCCCTTATTATTGAGTACCAGCCTCCGAACCAAAGGGCCGATGGTTCATTTCCCAGTCAGGGCACATGCTTGGGTTGTGGGCCAAGTCCCCAGTATGGGGTGTGCAAGAGGCAACCACATATTGATGTTCCTCTCTCTCTCTTCCCCTCTACCTAAAAATAAATAAAATCTTAAAGACTAAATGTGAATATTCATAAAGATATTCCTAACTTCTAAAACTTCATCAAGAAATCTACATAATTCTACCATGTGCTTTTTATATTCTTCTTATAGTAAGTTCTGCCCTTGTATTATATCCAACTGAATAGAGTAAGAATAAAATGTAACTAATGTATTTAGGCACATTCTCATGAAATTTAAATTAAAAAACTTTACACAAGGTAAAAAGGATAGAGAACCATTTATTAAAGATGCATTTTAGTTTTGAAGAAAAGTAAGTTCCAGATCTTTCTTCGCTTTTATTTACTACAGCGATCTTCAACCTTTTGCATCTCATGGCACACATCAATTACTAAAATTCTGCAGCACATCAAAAAATATATTTTTTGCCAATTTGACAAAAAAAGGTATTTTGATTCATTCACACCAGAAGGCTATTGTTGTGTTGGTTGTTTTTATTTTTTTTTTATTTGGCAATCTAAGGGAAAAAAGGTCAGGGCCCCTGAGTAAATGGTCAGATATTGCATGTTTTAAAAATTCTTGTGGCAAACAGTGTGTCATGGGGCATACCAGTTGAAAACTGCTGATTTACTATATTAGCAAATAAAAATTATTATTAATTTAGTTGAGTCATTATTTTAAGTATTTCAAAATACTGGTCTACAATTTTATTAGAAAACCTGGAACTCCAAAAGCTCTAGAAACTTAACAATTTTTCCAAAGTTCATTTGAGTGTAATCTAACATGAACTAATATGAGACTATTTATAGTCCTTATTATCCTATTGAGTGTAAATGCTTGCTGAATATTAATGTGTTTGATTATGACAGGTCCCCCTGAGCTCTACTGAAATATAAAATAATAGGTGGCATATGCACCTATTTACTTCTCAAAGGCTTACTTATTTTTAAAAAGATTTTATTTATTTATTTTTAAAGAGAAGGGAAGGAGAGAGGGAGAGAAACATAGATCAGTTCCCTCACATCCCGCCGCCCAACTGCGGGGACCTCACACACAACCTAGCAAGTGCCCTGACCTGAAATCGAACCTGTTACCTTTCAGTTCTCAGACAAATGCTCAATCCACCGAGCCACACCAGCCAGGGCTCAAGGGTTTAAAGATATAACTAGCCCTAAGTGTTTTTTAATAATGGAGTATAGATCCTAGACCAAGGTCATGAAGCTCTTCCCCGAAGATTTCTTTTAGAAGTTTTATGGATATGGGCTTTATTTTTAAATCTTTAAACCACATATCTGATAAAGAATGAATATCCAAAAAATATAAGAAACTCCTACAATTCAACAGCAAAAGAAACCAAATAACCAGATTAAAAAATGGACCTATGACTTGAATAGACATTTCTCCAAAGAAGGCATTCAAATGGTCAACAGGTATATGAAAAGATGGTTAACATAAGTAATCACTGCAGAAATTCTAATTAAAACCAGGAGATATCCCCTCACATCTATTAGGGTGCTGTTATCAAAAGAACAAAAGATATGTGCTAACAAGAATGTGGAGAAATTGGAATCCTTACTGTTGATGAAAATGTAAAATAATGCAGTTGACATGAAAAACAGTAGAAAGTTACTAAAAATAAATAAAAATAGAAATACAGTATGATCCAGAAATCTCACTTCTGGGTATTTATCCAGAGAAACCAAAATCAGTATCTCATAAAGATATCTTCACTCCCATGTTCACTGCAGTACAATTTATAACAGCCAAGATATGGAAACAACCTAAATGTCCATCAACAAATGAATGGTTATAGAAAATGTGGTATATACGTAGATTGGAATATTATTCAACCTGCTGTGTGTGATAACAGGGATGAATGTGGGATATACTATGCTTGGTAAAATTAGCTTGTCACATTAGGACAAATACTGTGTGATTCTACTTATATGAAGTATCTAAACTAGTCAAACTCATAGAAACAAAGTAAAACGGAACAAAACTCATAGAAACAAAGTTACTGACAGGAGGAAGAAATGAAAATTAGTGTTCAACAGGAACAGTTTCAATTATACAAGATGAACAAATTCTAAAGATCTGCTGCACAATGATGTGCTTAGAGTTAACAGTGCTGTATTGTGAACTTAAAAATTTGTTAAGACGGTAGATTTCAAGTATTTTAAAAAAGTTAAAAAGATTTCTAATTTTTTCATCCCTCATTTACTATCAAAAGCAATCCTTATACTCTTATATCTCTACTTGTGCTTCTATATTCTGAAACATTGATTTTAATAAATAAAAATATAACTTTCATAGCAGAATCATTATGATAAAGAATGTTCTTTTAGCAGACACTTGAGAATATCACAAACTTAAAACAAAATATTAAATAAAATGTTTAACAGTGATTTAACTGTATTAGACAATATAACATAACATTTATAACCTTTATACTGTACCTCATTCTGTAAGAAATTTGAATTGGAAGCCTTTTTAGTAATAGAATATTAATTTAGGGAACAAATTTAGATAACTCCTATACTGAAAATAAAATATTATAATATAAAGAATATATGTACAGCACACAATTAGATTCTATCATTCTGGATTTCATCATCTCAAATCAAAGGCTTCTAAATCATGCAATATGCCATAAAAAATGGAAGCACTTACTTAGGAGTAGAAGGACCCCTTGGCCATGTTCCATCTTCATTTTTCTGTTCTATCACTAACACCTAAAAATACGACACAATAAAAGAGTGTTTTTCTTAACCCCAATGTTAAAAGAGTTTTAGAAGACTAGCTGGATTCACTAAGAAACTAAAGTAACCCTGTTGATTAATTAAAGGACACACCAGACAAAGTGAACAGCTATTTGCATTTTGGTTCCAAAGCTGGGCAAAGGAGACACAAATTTAAGGAGTCAATTATAAGACGCAAGGAATTGCAAACACACACAGAGACACACACACACAAGGAAGAGAGATAAGGATCACTCATTTTGGGAGGCAAACTCTTCAGTAACATATTTTTGTTTTACTCCCTAATAAGAATACTTAAAATTTTAGTAAAAAAAAAATTAAAAGTCAAGGGCAGTGTTTATTTTATTTATCATTACTCAGAAAATAACTTATAAAATCTGTAAAACTTAATGCATATTTTGGGAAATGTTCCTATTTCAAAATCTGATAAATGCATCCCTAGCAAGATGATCAAATTATTTAAATTTTCGAAGCCTCAGTTTTCTAATGTACATGATAGAAATAATAATAGCCATTACACAAAATCAATCACTGAAAAGAGTTAAAGAAATAACACTATATATTTCAAATTGTACTATGAGCTACCTCAAGGCCTGCTGAATGGTAACCAAGGAGAGAGATTTATTCTCTTGGCAGCCAAGAAAGAGAGAGTTGGCTGGCAAGAGGGGAGTGTTGACTAACCAGTAAAGTTCCAAGTTCCTCACTCCAGCTTCAGTCAGGCAACTCTCTTTTGAATTGTAAAACATATTAAATTTTTAATATTTCACTTAAGAATATAACGGCTAAAGTAAGTATGAAAATCACTGCTTTTATATCTTATTACAAGATTTGACATATAGTAAACATTTACTAAAAATTAAGTTCCTTCTGTTCCTTTGAATTTTTAACAACTTGTATCATATTACTGATGTCAATAGTAATTTTAAATAAAACAAAGCAAAACAAGAAAAAATCTTCCATATATTGGAGCACCAGGCTCTGTGTTAAGTACTAAAAATAATAAAAACAAAAATAAATACGACACAAAGTCCAATCAAAACCAACACCTCATAGTCTAGTGGGGGGCTCAATATATAAATAACTGAAGTACATAATGATACAAAAGACATACATAAATTATTATGAAAGTTAAGGGAGTAACTTTTTCTCCAAACTAGAAAAATCCTGTACCTCAAATAGATATTGATAAAAATAGATCAGAAAGGCTGAAGAGATTATTTTACATCTGAGCTGGAAATGAAGGACTAATAATCTGATCTGGTTACACTACATGACAGAACTAATGGTTAATATGAATATTTTGATGTTAAAAAACTTTTTGCTGACTGGATGCAGGGATTGGGAAGAAGGCCTTTGAAACAATATGTAGGAACGCACAAGAGGATGAACAACACAGTAATGTTTAGGGCACAAGTGGTTCAGTTTGGTTTTGTTAGAGTGTAAATCACAAAACAAGGATAATCTAAAGATGATGGAAAACTGGCAAAAGATCAAACTATACCTTACAAGCTGTGTTAAGGTGCTTGGACTTTATTCTGTAATTGTTAAGGAGCTAGGAAAGGTTTATGAAAAGAAAATAATAAGGTTTGCATTTTAGAAAGAGGATTCTAACAGAAATACGGAATATTGAAAGTGGACATGCAAAACACCGGAGGCAGAGGGATCTGTTAAGACAGGGGCTGGGAATGACATAGAGATTAATTCAAGAAACGATCAGAAGATAGAATCAGTAGGACTTGCTAATTTCTCAACACATTCATTTATTTGGATTATATTATAAAGAAAGAAGAAGAGGTTGACACCTTCGTGGGAGCTGGTAAACTACAGTTCACTTAGCTCACTGATTGCATTTGGAAATAGTTTGTTGGAATATAGCCATTTCCATGTTTACATATCCTCTCTAATGGCTATTTTCATGCTACCTCAATGGCAGAGTTGTAGTTGTGACAGAGGTCATATGGACAGTAGAGGGAAAAATATGTACTATTTGACCTTTTACAGAAAGTTTGCTGACCTATCTTATTAGCTGGTTGTTTTTTTGTTTTTTTTTTTTTATGGAACACAACTTCTTTTTTATATTCAAGTTCAAGAAGTGAAATGGAAGGTATGGCTAGTGTCCAGCAGGGGAACAGAAGAAATGAGTTAGAAAAAGGAAGCCAGAGCCAGCAGAACCCCACACAGATTACCAGGATATCCAAAAAATATTTGTGACTCCAGAAAGTTTCATGTATGGTATACTTAAGATAAATAGCACTGCTAAACAATACCTGTCCTTGGTATAAACCAGCATCCTGAATGGTGCTGTCTGGTTTATTCAGAGGTTCAAATGTATTACTCATGTATTTGTTCCACAATCTGGTTTCCTTTTCATCTGGAATATTGAAGATTTTTCTTATTTCCTTTTCAATTGTATCTAGATTTAAGGAGAAAAGATATATAAATATAACAAACCTTTAAATATATACCACACAGAGCTAAGTGTTCACCAGCATAAAAATCCTAAATTTAAAATATTGATATGATAGTAAAAACAGGTGAATATGTAAAAAAATACATAAAAACCAATAAAGAAGGTATGCTTTTTAAAGAACAAAATAGTAATTATAACTCTGACAGATGATTACTTGGGGAAACTGAGATCTCAAAAGGTATAGGAGTTCAATCATAACATCACATTTTATGTCACACAAAATAAAGTTTGAAAGCAACATAATTTTTCTGATGATATACAGGAGTTAGAAGAAAATAAAGTATGATTCAGAGATGTTACAAATGAAAAATATTTTTAATTATAACCAATTTCAGAACAATTAATATTAAATTGAATATAACTTACAGTTTAAATAGCTAACTAAAAATAGAATATATGGCCACAAAAGAAAGGGCCTTCTTTGAAGGGATGTCTGTATTGGTCAAAATTTCTTGTTTTGAAGCTAAAACCATATATTTTACTTCCTTATAAATCAACTATCTAAGTGGAAGAAGTCTTTTTTATTTTTTTTTAAACTGGAGCAGCTTAACCTACTATAAAATAAGACAGGAATATCTACAGATTTGAGAGTACAAATGCAATTAAGCTTCAGTACCATATAGTTAAATAAATTTAAAAAATTTTTAAGCATTAGAAAGAGATATTAGAAAATACTATTAAATCTATTGAATTCTGGTCAATAACTTGCTTGACTTAGACTCAAGTATACTAATTAAAATATGAAATATGAAGAAATATAAAATACCTCTAAATTTTAGAATACTTGATTAGTTTTGGAAAAAAAACACATTATTAAAAAAATACTAAGCCTACATTTTCTCTGAAGAAATACAAATACCCCTGCCTATTTCACATAATTAAATTTAGTCCAATGATACTGTTTATGTTCTACCTGGCAGCTAATGCTTTTTAATAGTCTTATAGTTAATAAGATTTTGATTAGGGCATTAAATTAGCAGTACATCTTACAGTGTAACTTAGAGCAAATTAGTCAGAACATTTAAATAATTACATAAATAAATATACTGCATGTTATTTTGGGGAAGGGGGTAACTTTTTTTTATTGAAGTATAAATGTATACAGAAAAATGCACAAAATTATCAGTATATCATGAAAAATTTCCAAAGTGGACACACAATGTAAACAGCACCTGAATCAAGGAACAGAACATTATGTAGGAAGGAGGATGGAGGAAAAAGCTGAGGAAGGGAAGTCACTGCAGTTTTTCTATAAAACCGAATACTTTTTCCTTACTGGAGAAATAATTCTTGATCATTGCAAAAATTCAGAAAATATAAATACAGTACAAGTAAAATGTCTCCCTAAAGATAAGCACTGTTAACATTTTGATATTTCTTCTTTCAAATATTTTTTTCTATTAATACACAGATATTTATACACATAACCTAAATGTGCAAACACATATTGGAATTTCTCCTTCAGGGAATTTTGCAATCTACCCATAAAGAACGTTGTAGGCAGAAGGTGTAATGCAAAGGCCCTGAGGTGGGAATGTATTTGGCATTTTTTAGAACAGCATTGTGCACAAATGTGACTTAAGCGAGAAAAGCAACGTAAAAATGTGAACATAAAGGTACTTATGTAGGTCACATAGAATCTTGTGAGTTATGAAATTATCCTACTTTATCTGAGTAGAAGGAAAGCTGCTGCAGAGCTTTGATCAAAGTAGGGAAATGTTCTGACATTTCAAATGTTCCTTTTGCCGTCAGTGAAGAACAAACTGGAGTACAGGTATGGGGGGAGAGATTAGGCTACTGCAGCAATCCAAAACAAGGTGGTAGTGGGGGGAGCAGTAGAAGCAATCTTAAGTGGTCAGACTAAGACTAGGTTCTGAAAGAACTGCTAAAGACAACATGCTCCTAAGATTACAGGCAGAGTGAAAAATAAAAAGAGTTTAATTTCGTATTTATTTGGGGATTCTTGTAAGACACAAGTGAAGATATGGAATTATGGAAAAGTTTTGGATAGAAGACATACATTTAAAAGACAACAATATGCACAAAATTATTTAAAGCCAGCAGACTGGAGGAAATTGCCAAAAAAAAAGAGGGGAGATTCAAGGACGAAGTAGGAGACAGTGATGTTTTAAGATCAGGACTATATAGAGTATATCTCACAATGGACTCTGAGAAGATGCAGCTAGTGAGAACATATGCCCTGGAAGCCATGTGAAGAGAAAGTGTTTATTGATGGAATAATTAGTATGTTAATATTCCTGGCAGATTATAAAGACATGGAAGACTTTGAAATTACCATGGCATTTATTAGTGCAGAGGTATTAAAAACTACAACAGAAACAGGATCAAGGGAGTGGTAGGCTTGAATATCTGATGTATTAGGCTCAAAAGAGAATGGCAGCAGAGGAAGTGGGAGCCAGAAAGCAGAATGCACAAATTGAGATTTGGCAAGTGAACTTTTAGATAGTGACAGTCTATGGGAATTGGTGGCTGAGTCTGGGTGCAGATCAAGATCACTGGAGGGTGAATTTCACTCATAGTTGGGATATAAAACTGAAACTGATAGACACAGACAATAGTATGCTGGTCACCAGAGGGTTCAGGGTTGGAGGAGTAGCAAAGAAAAAGGGGGCCAAATATATGGCAATGGAAGATGATTTGACTTTGGGTGGTAGGCACACAATGAGACATACAGATCATGTATCAAAGAACGCACACTTGAAACCTATAAAATCTTATTACCCAATGTCACCCAATAAATTCAATAAAAAAGAATATCAAGGCATTGAGAGCATGTGTATATTTTCCCCATATATTAATCTGATTCCATTAGGCAGTTAATAAAAAGCATACAGAGGCAGAAAAATATTAACACAGATAAGAGAAAACTGTGACAAATATTTCTAGTAAAAACATTTGATGTTAAAGTTAGGTAATTCTATTAATAAATCTTGTAAACATAAAGCATTTTTCAAGAAGTTTTATAACAAAAATTATTTTTTAGTGTTATCCTTAAAGAAAAAATAAAGCCAAAATTTATCTTTCTTATTAGAACATTCAATACACAAAAATATTAATTTAGGAAGAAAAATATTCAAAGGCAAAGTATATTGGTTCTGAGTGTAGTAAATTAATTAGTTTCTGCTTATGGCTACTATCATTTTAATTATAAATCAACATAGGTAGTACTAGCTGAAAAAGGAACACTTATTAATTTGGTAAAAACAAAAAACAGGTATTTATATTTCTTAATTCTATTTATATATTTATATAGCTATATTTTATGTACATAGCTGTTTTGATCATTTTTAATCACAATTTTTAAAAAGACTAGAAAGGAAATAATACATTCCATGTTTTCTTTCTTACTATCCAAATTCTTTATTGTTTCAAAACTTACTTCAGAAAAACAAAATCAGCCAAATTACCACTTGCATAAATGGTGTACAGCAGCAATTAAGACACAAGGTTCTGATATAAAATCCCTCATTATGGAATTAAAATACTGGCTCTATCACTTGGAACCAGGGTGAACATAGGTATGTTACATAACCTTTGGAAGCCTCAGCTTTACCACCTAAAAGATGACAATACAGCATTGAAGTTTAAATTAAAAATTCCTCTAAAGTTCCTAATATGTAGTAAGTATTCAATAACTACTAAGTAGTATAACTAAAACCATAAAATCTCTAAAATTCCTGACTTGGTTAACTTTAATAATTTTTGTAAAACTTTTTACACAGAAAGCAAAGTTGCTCTAATCTAGATTTTCAAACTTTTAAAACTAAGACCTCCAGGAAGAAATTGTGACCTAGTATTCACATACACATATTGATTATTCTATTGTAGTATTTTCTATTCCATTCTCTTTACTTCACAGTTTAATGACTATTAATAATGCAGTTTGGAACCATTGTGCTAATAAAAAAATATTTTACCTACAAAAATTTAGCTCATATACAATTTTAAGGCATATATTCAATACATGTAGTATTGAAAAGTATTAGTAAATATAAACTACACTGGGTTAAATCTATAAAAATAAACCTTTTTATTTATATATTTATCCACACCCAAGGATTATGCTTTTTGATTATAGACAGAGGGGAAAGAAAGGGAAAAGACAGGGAGAGAAACATCCATGTGAGAGAGAAACACTGACTGGCTGCCTTTTCTACACACCCCTATCAAGACCAAACTCACAACCTAGGCATGTACCCTGACTGGGGATTAAATCCATGACCTTTCAGTTTGCAGGACACCATCCAACCAAGCCACATTGGGTAGGGCCAAATCATAAACTTTTTGAAGCAGAAATTCTTTACAAATTGTGTATTTCCTTAATAAATTCTTACTTAGAACTTAATGTGAGAACTCCATGATGCTTGTTCTGAATTTAGAAATCAAACTAACTGTTAATTTTCATGTAAGTTTTAAAATATTATTCAGTAAACTAATGTTCTAAACTAAGATTCTGATGACCTCATTTTATATATAATTTTCCTATAGAAATGAGGTAGTAGAAGAAAATATTAAATTTCAAAGATAACTAAAAAACATTATGTCTATCAAGTATTTTAAGAGGTAGCTTCTCATTTATATTCCAATTGGCTGAACATTTCAGAGATTAGTCTCGGAATTAATTTTAATAGACTATCCTCCTTGGTAGACTTAGATTCTTATTGTGCACATTTTCATATCATGTTTAATGTAATTTTATATACAGTAGTCCCCCTCTTATCTACAATTTTGCTTTCTGCAGTCTCAAAATACTAAATGGAGAATTCCAAAAACATGCAATTCTTAAATTTTAGATTGCACAAGTTCTGTGTAGCATGACGAAATCTCGTGCTGTCTGCTCTGTCCTGCCTAAAACATGAATCATTCCTTGTCTGGCACATCCTACCAGGATATGTTACCTGACGTCCAGTCACTCCTCAGTGGTCTTAGTTATCAGATCGACTGCTATGGTGCTGCAGTGCTTGTGTTCAAATGACCCTTATTTTACTTAATAATGGTCCCAAAGTACAGGAGTAGTGATGCTGGAAATTTGGAATGCTAAAGAGAGCCCATAAAGTGCTTCCTTTAAGTGAAAAGGTGAATATAATACTATTAAACACTTTGAGAAAGACCACATTCACACAACTTTTATTACAGCATATTGTCACAACTATTCTATCAGTTATTACTATTATTAATAATCTCTTACTGTGCCTAATTTATAAGTTAAACTTTATCATAGGTAGGTAAGTACAGAAACCTATAAAATCTTATTACCCAATGTCAGAAGGAAACATAGTACAAGGACATATAGGGTTCAGTATTATCCCTTGTTTCAGGCTTCCACTGAGGTACTTGGAACATACGGCCCATTGATAAGGGGGTACTACTGTGTTATGTTGAAAACTTTCAGTATTTAGTATGTGGAAATGTTTTCTTTTCCTAAATATGTTCCACAAATCTAGAAGTTGAAAACTTATTTTTTTCATAATAATATGATAGTTATATATGGAATTCCTGATATTTTAAGCATTCATTTAAAAAAGATGACTGAGTTATTGAAATTACATCTCAAACTTATAAATGTCCAAGCTAAAACAAAGAGGGTGAAAATAAAAAATTCATACATAATATTTTATTTGGTAAAAACATTAGGATTAACCAAGCACTGAGTATTGAAGGATGATATTACTTTTATGAACAATATAGGTTAAAAGTATTTTCCTGCTGTGAAATAGGTAAGTGGTAAAAAATAATTTAAATGACTTATGCAATTCTTAAATATATTTATTTACTTTTAATCAAAGTGTACTTAATGACTGGTTCTAACAAGGAAAACTATACAGTGCTATAATTCATAAATGTGCTAGCCTCTCTTCCTCACTTAGGTATGCTGTGTTAAGTGTTATCACCACTGTCCATTTACATTTTCCAACAAGATGAAATTATTACCATCATCTTGTTTTCCAGTAACTACCTCTTATAATTTTTATTTTAGGATGTTTTTATCAAAAAGTAGTACAATTTTGTTATTAAATTACTAATCATTTATTTAGAAATCATTTTATTCAATATATTCTTGATCTGAAATTAAAACGTAACTTTTAAATAGAATGAAAAAATTTATGTATACTTCCATTTATATATGTAGACATATGAATATATATAGATATGTAGACACATAAATATATAAAGGGAATTAGGTACACTTATATTTGAGAGTATAATTCCCCAATGTACTCCCTATAAAAGTTCTACTTTAAGCCTGGCTGGCGTAGCTCAGTGGATTGAGCTCGAGCTGCGAACCAAAGTATCGCAGGTTTGATTCCCAGTCAGGGCACATGCCTGGGTTGCAGGCTACAGCCCCCAGCAACCGCACATTGATGTTTCTCTGTTTCTCTCTGTGTTTCTGTTTCTGTTTCTGTTTCTGTTTCTGTTTCTGTTTCTGTTTCTCTCTCTCTCTCTCTCCCCCCCGCCCTTCCTCCCTTCCCTCTCTAAAAATAAATAGAATCTTAAAAAATATATATGAACAACAGAAACCTCATGTTTTTTTTAAAAAAGTTCTACTTTAACGTATAATCCTGTTACAAGCAAAATGTACATTTCCAATGCTAAACTAAAATTATTTGATTTTTTTAAAAAAGTAAAATGGCACAAATGTTAAATTCATCGAATAATGTAAACTAGATTTAGAAACTATAAATAATTCAACTGTAAGCTAACATATATTGCATCAGGCTTGGAAATCTATAATGTTATGTATAGACCCTTAAAATCATCACCATCCTGGTAGCATATAATAAAGAGAATTATAATTAAATTTCTAATAGTAATGATTTAACAGAGAGGATCTTGCTTTACCTATTGTGTCAGCTTTGCTAAATCTTCGGGTTACAACATTGTTCATGTTTCCATTTTCACAGAGCTTCAATTCTGTGAGATATACTTCTACTTTGCAGTGCTTGACAAACATACCCTGTTCGACCACCTAAAAAATAAAACAAAACAGTGTCAGCTACAGTGCACTACAATTTCATTGTCTCTAATAGAATACATTTCTCTAAAGAGGCTATAGGAGAAAAACACAGATCTCCAACAAAAAATAGTAACTAGTAAAATATATCAATATAAGATAAAATACACTATTTGAAAAAGCAAGAAACACTTTTGGGAAATTTAACAGAATATGAATAATCATATTACACACTAATAGTTTAGAAAGGTATTCAACTGACTATGAAGATACTTAGGTACATAACGAATACATTCAGTATTTATGATGAAGAAGTCTACTCAAAAAATATATATATATAGCTCTGATTAAAGATAGAAACATAACTTAGAGCTTTTCATACTTGATTTTAAGCAAAAAAAACCTTGTAAAATTGAGTTTTATACGATTTAAGTTAGCAATAGTTGTATCACTCTTTACATTAAAATATTTTAAAATAACTCCAAATTACTGCTGCCAAAATATTCATCTGTGCCCTGAACTGATGTTAGTTTTTCATCCTAAGATGACTTTGTTCGACCTTTAAATGTATACTTAGTAGTTCTATGCAACAAATGAAAAAAAAAAAAAGCTAAGCATGCAAGCAATAAAGCAGAAATACAGACAGAAAATATGCATATATCAGGGTCACCTTTTTAGTAAGTATATTTCCTTTTGATCTTCTAAAGGTTAACTGTAGGGTTTCAGTCATGAATACTGTTGCTGAAAATAGTCATCAGCCTGATATGTGATACATTAGACAAATATGGCAAAAGGGAGGCTCCAAATGACTCTTGTACTCACAAGCTTAGCATCAATTTAGTAAGCAACTTATAAATTTCTCTTTTACTTGTAGGAAAATTGTTTAAGCTAAAAAAATTCAAATTTAGTTTATTTAGCACTTAATGTCCAAGGCAACACAATTTTTATGATACTTTGTCATATATATTCTATTTCACTTCTAAAACAGGTTAACAGCCTGCACCTCTCCTTCTATTAAGTTAATTCATTTCACAAACCAATATGTAAATCACTTCTCTTAACTAATGTAATGTTTTATCTCTTATGCTCATTTATTTTGAAGTTAAGAATGTAGCAAAAGATATTGCTTGTAGCTATATTTAAGTAGAAAAACTAGGAATCAAATATTAGCATTGATTAAAAATTTCTCCTCTAAGACTCAGTATCTGAGTAGCAATCCTAAAATAATATTATACTAAGATAGCTACTAATAGTTGCTAAAAACTACAGGCCTCATTTTTATGGGAAAAATGAAATGAACAACAACAGGTCAGGTAATGAAATAAAGAAACAGGATAAAATAACAAAAATATGGAAAATCCCACATAATAATTTATATTGAGGTATACAAAATATTTTTAAGACAATTTTCATAACACTAGTGGGTATTTTCCTGAAAAATACCTGATGATTTAACTGTCAGAAAGTCATTGTAAACAGTGGGAAAAAAAACCATCAGGATTTCAAAATCTACACTTCACTGGGATTCAGAATTTTTCCATTTTTTCCTTCTCTCTAGCAATATCTTACATTATTAAAACATTCACTATCACTACTTAGAATACTAACATATTTATTATATTACTACTTCTAAAAATAGTGTATTAAAAAGCTGTTCTTTTAAAGAAAATATCTTTGTCCTCCAACTATTTCCATTTGAAATGACCATACTATATGAATGACTGAAGCTTGAATACAATGGCACCATAGCACAGAAAATAATCATCATATTTATGTATTAGTGTTATAGTTTTATTAATTTGTTTATATATAACACCTCCCTTACTTGTTTACATCAAGTCTCCTATGTTCATTAAAAATGTTTGTACCGAAAATAATCATTTAAAAAATGGCTATGAAGACTAACAGAAAGAAACAGACTTACACAAATAGAAAATAAAGTTATATTTGCCTATTATTATAACCATTAAAATAATACACTTGAAATTCAAGACTGAAGGTGAATATTCAAATAGTTATGCTTCAGAATTAGAGGTGACAGTTAAAATTTTTTTGGTAAGTGAAATATGTTATATTCCTATAAACACAGAACAAGCACAAGATGAAGTAGCTCCCTGTCTAAAACATAAGGCTTATGGTTATATAAAAATATTTTCATTAATTCAAGGACTAAACTCCAAGTGCCTATTTCTTCTCTTTTGGAAATAGAAAGGATTTTCTAAAGAAATCTGTTACTCTACAACAATTTAATAACACTAGGCTTAATGGACACATTTACTATCTTTGAGGAATTAGCTACATTCATTTTTGCAGCACTTACGAAGCATCTATACTTAGTGCTAGGCATAACAGGTGCATTAGACCTAGGCTCTGGAGTCAGAGTGAGAGCACCTAGTGGTAAAGACAGAAAAACACAGAAGTATAACACAAAGATGAAATAATAGTTTTTAATACATAACAAATCCTACATATTATTTTCTATCCACAAATGTTACAGGATGTGTTTCATTTTTCAAAAACAAGGACTGAAACATAATCATAATAGCATTATCACAACTAAAATAATTCAATTGAATCTCATAATATCAAATATATAGTCAATGCTCAAATTGTCTCTCCTGTCTCATTTTAATATAGTGTTTCAACCAGGATCAAAATAAAACCTACACATTACAAATAACAAATAAAGCCACTTAAATAGAGAACTGAACAGTTGACCATCCATCTCTATATTCTTGCAATTTTTATTAAGGCTACTTAATCAATGGTGAAATATATTCTAAAGATGATGCGAATGTTATCTAGTTACCGCTTTTTTGTGATGGTGGTAGGCATAAATTAATCAGTGCATAGATCAAGGTGGGCAAACTATGACCCACAAACTAAATCTGACTCATCATCTATTTTTTTATAAATCTAGTTTTGACTCTTCTTTTACTAATTAATTAATTAATTAATTTATTTATTTATTTTTAGAGAGGGGAAGGGAGGGAGAAAAAGAGGGAGAGAAACATCAATGTGTGGTTGCCTCTCATGTGGCCCCATTGGGGACCTAGCCTGAAACCCAGGAATGTGCCCTGACTGGGATTCGAACCTGCAACACTTCACCCATCTATTTTTTTAAAATAACATTTTACTGGAACACAGCCACACCCATTCATTTATGTATGGTCTATGGCTGCTTTTGCACCCCAAACAGTAGAGATGAGTAGTTTCCACAGAGACTATTTTGGCCCACAAAGCTGAAAATATTTACCATTTGTGCCCTTACAGAAAAAAGTCTGGTGACTCTTCTGGCCATTAATTCATTAGGTCTTTTTAAATTCTGCTCAGTAACATTTTGTAAATTTCAGTGTAGAAAAGCTGTTTTTGTTGGTTTATTCCTAAGTGTTTTGATCTGCTATAAACATAACTTCAAAATTCAACTTTATTTGCTGGTTATATCCACCTACCTGCTAAACTTAATTCTAATTGTGTATCAGTACAATTTTTAAAAAAATTTCAACACATAAAATTATGTCTCCTAGACCAATACAATTTTATTTCTTCTTTTTCAACCTTTATTTATTTTAGTTCTTTTCCATGCATTATCATACTGGCTAAAACTTCTAATACAGTTATCCTTGTCTTGTGCCTGATCTGAGAGGGCGAGCTTTGAGTATTTTTATCAATAAGTGTATCTGCATAGTTTCTACTCCTAGTCTTTCATTTGTAAGAGTTTAAAAAAATCATACATGAATACCGAATTTTACCAAATGTTTTTCTGTATCTATTGACGTTATTTTTCTTCTTCAGCTGCTACCAAAATTATAAGTAATTTTCAAAATTGCATTTGAGCTGTGACCAGTGTGGCTCAGTGGGTTGGACATTCTCCTGAAAAATGAAAGGTTCAAGGTTGGACTCCTGGTCCGGCACATGCCTGGGCTGTGGGGCCATCCCTTATTGGGTAGCATGCAGGAGACAACCAATTAATGTTTGTCTCACACATTGATGTTTCTCTCCTTCCCTTCCCCTCTCTCATAAATAAATAAATAAATAAATAAATAAATAAATAAATAAATAAAATCTGAAAAAAATGCAGTTTAGCCATTTATTGCCCTTTTTACTTATTGTTTGATTTGGCTTGCTAAATTGTGTTTTGAAATTAAGCATCTATGTTCATGAGTAACACTAGCCTGTAATTTTTATTGTAATGCCCTTCAAGGTTTTGTGTCATATTTATGCTAGCCACAAAATAAGTTTGGAAGCTTTCTATTTTCTGAAAGAGAATAGGATCGGTATGCTTCTTCCTGAAATATTTGGTAGAATATACTAATGAAACCTTTTGGACCTGCATTTTTCTTTGTGGGAAGATTTTCATTTAACAATTTTATTTCTTTAATCACTAAGTGCCATTCAGTTTTGTATTTCTCACTGTTTCAACATTAAGTTGTATTTTTGTAGGAATTTGTCCACTTCAGCTAAAATTTCAAATTATTGCATAAAGTTGTTCAAAACATGATCTTTTAAAAAATCTTTAGGCTCTGCTATGATGTGCCCTTTTCGTTACTAATATAGGTCATCTGTATCTATTCTCTTTGTATTTTTGATCAGGCTTGATAGAAGTCATCTTTATTTTATTGGTCTCATTTCACTGTTCTAATCATGAGTAAACTTTGTTAACTTAGAGTATTTTTTTTCAATTTCATTAGTGTCTACTATACATTGTTCTTTCTTGACTAGGTTTAATTTCCTTTTCTTTACTTCTTGATTTTCAGACTTTCTTCTTTTCTAATATATGCATTTAAGCTATATAAAGTTCCTTCTAAGAATGGCTTTAATCACCCTTTTACGTTGTATTGTTATTCTTTTTCAGTTGAAAATATTAGATAATTTTAGAATAAAGAAATTTGTCTTCTGCACTAAGTGCTATGCAATCACTGGGTCATGAGAATTAACCACATTGTTCACACCAGTTTCCAAGCTCACTCATGTGGTTGCTGGCAGGCCTCAGTTCCTCTCCAGCTGTTGTCAGA